CAGAACAGTATTGTACCCATGATCAGATACAGTCTCTGTGGGGAATGTTTTAGCTTAATTGTTCTTCTTTGGGAAAAGGGAGAATTCCGTCTGGTGGTGGGTGGGATGTAACAGATGAAAAGATAGCAATGAAGCAGATTTTTAAAATATTAGCAAGACATGTCTGTTATTTTCTTGATGTTTTGAAAGGTGGGAAAAAAGTCATTAAAAAAGCTATTTGTTTTCTTTTCTGACTGTCAATTCGCACTGTCAACTCTCCTGTTGAGGAGATAGCTCTTGCGTGCTCCTCCCATGCTCTTCCCACACTTTGCCCACTTCTTCCACATCTAATGTCTCTTCATGCCAATGAAGTGAATCAGCAGGACACTAGACCCTAACGATATTTAGCACTTCAGATCCATCACAGTACATCTTTGCCTCAACTTTAATAACCAGAATAGGATTTTTTTTTTAATGGAAGTTACTTTTGTAGTTATATTTAGACACTAATTTTCATTTCCCATCGGCTTCTGGTGAGATGTTTCTGTTTTGATATATGCAATTAAAATATTCAAGATTTTAAAACATATCATTCCTGGGAGAGAAATTTAATTTTCTCTCCTTTTGCCTGTTCTAAAGTAACAGCGTGTGTCGAACTCACTGCCAATTGAACACCTCCCATGTATGCCAACATCCTAAGCCCAACTGACTTTCTAATTTCCCCTTACATTCATTGTCATCTGCCATACCATCTAGCACCTTAACAGATCCTAATGAGTTCATAGAGCTTTCCGGGGAGTGGATGGAGTCCCTAATTAAAATGAAGCAGTTATTATGAATATATTGCTAATAATAAATTCTGGCAGAATGTAGTGTGGGCCATTAAAAATGGTTCTGTACCCAAAGGTTACTTTCTTTCTTGTAGCATAATGAACCTATTTTTTTTAAGACTTCACCTTTTACCCAGAAGAGTACGAAGTTTTGTGATCCAATTAAACTTCTTTCTTGTGACCCTCCCTCTTTTCCAAGCTGACATCTACATAACCCCAAATGGCTGCTTATTAAAATATGACACTTGAATAGTCGGCAAAAACTGGCTGTGTCACACACAACTGTCCCAAATATTCACAAAGACAGCTGCATATTTTTATTAACTTCATAACTATAGGTGTGAGCTATTTGAAGGAAACTAAGAAGGTAGAAAGAAGGTCATGAGTTAGAGGGATAACAGAGGTGCACTCTTGGGACCCCAAGGTTTTAGATACAGGGCTAGAAGGAATATTCGAAGTCATCAAGGCCAGTCCCCTCATTTTCAATGAGCGAACTGAGGCACAGAGAAATCAAGTGATTTGCCCAAGGTTACCCAGTAAATGACTGAAGCAAGATTCAAATCCAGGTCTTCTTCACCTCAGGTCTAGAGCTATACCTTTTACAGACACCACTTGTCATAAGATGGGGAAACTGAGGCTGCTAAGTGACTTACCTGGGGTCACGAAGCTAACGAGTACCCGAAGCAGAATTGATTCCAAGTCCAGTGATCGGTTCAATAAGTCACCTTAATCCCTGTGACCCGACGCCCAAAAGAGTTATTCTGAATTCTTGGAGTAGGGTTTTTAAAACTTCCACCCTGTCCCCCTTTAATCCAGATATGATTTTCTTGGTGCAGCAAACTGCTACTGCCAGTCCATCATAAGCACTGATGAAGCACCTACTGCGTGCTAGACCCTGCGCTAATTACTGGGGATCCCAAGAATGACGAAAGACAGCCCCCTTCCGAAGGATGTCACAGTCGAAAGGAGCAAGAGCATGCGAGAACACCCTTCACGACAACCCATGGACTCAACCATTTGGAGAGAAGCGGAGGGAAGGCCGCAGCAGTGAGGGGACCGACAAAGCTGCCCTTTGGAAGGCTACGTTTAGCTGGGACTTGGAGGATGCTGGGGAGGGCAACGACAGGTTCGGGCACAAGGGATGGCTTGTGCACTGCCCTGAGTGGGGAGATGGAGCAGGAGGCAAGGAGGCCAGTGTCCCGGGATCACAGAGTCTGCCGGAGAGGTCGGGTATGAGAGGCTGGAAAGGTAGGAGGCGGCTGCCTCGGGGAGGGCTTTCAAAGTCTAAAAGAAGATTACCCATTTGTTCCTGTAGGTGATGGGAGGTCCTTAAGTTTATTGAGTGTGTGTGTGTGTGTGTGTGTATGTGTGTATATATGTATGTGCATGTGGGTGTATATGTGAGGGTGTGTGTGGGGGGGTGTGTGTGGGTATGGGTGTGTGCATGTGGGTGTGTAGGTGTGTAAGGGTGTGTGTGTGTATATATATATACATGTATGTGTATGTGGGTGTGTGTGTGAGGATATGGGTGTGTGTAGGTGTGGTTGTGTGTAGGTGTGTGTGTATGTGGGTGGGTGTGCGTAGGGGTGGGTATAGAGGTGTGTGTATGAGTGTGTATATATATGTATGTGTAGGGGTGTGTGTGTGAGGATATGGGTGTGTGTAGGTGTGTGTGTGTGGGGTGTGTGTGTGTGTGTGTGTGTATGTATGTGTATGGGGGTGTATGTGGGGGTGTGTGTGGGTGTGGGTGTGGCTGTGATACGCCTGCACCAGTGTCTACCCCTGTGTGAGGAGAGAAGGGGCATGTGAGGGAGTGTTAGGAAAGTCAATCCAACACAGCTGGGCAGCTGATTGGGATTTTCCAGTGAGAAAACGTCCTCTGTTAATGACAATCAGAAGCTGCTCTGAAACTTAAGAGAAAGAGTTGTCTGGGGCATGAAGAAGTCATGATTTGCTCAGAATCACAACATGACAGAATTTGAACCCAAATCTTCTTGACTCTGATACCAGCTTTCTGCTGTTTCCTTTTATCTTTCTGTCTACTTTTGAGGCAGCCTGGTGGTACGGTGAATAGAGCGCTGGGCCTGGAGTCAGGAAAATGTGAGTTCAAATCTGGCTTCAGATACTTAGTAGCTGTGTGACCCTGAGCAAGTCTCCTAACTCTTTTGCCTCAGTTTCCTCATCTGTAAAATGATCTGGAGAAGGAAATGGCAAACCACTCCTGTATCTCTGCCAAGAAAACCCTAAACAGGGTCATGAAGAGTTGGACGTGACTTAAATGCCTGAACAACCACAACTATCTACTTCTATCTATCATCCATTAATTATCTATCACCCGTGTATTGTCATCTACCTATCTATCACCTATCTATAGTTCATCAGACATGAATGAGTTGAGATTGGCTTCGTTGGACAGAATGCCACCCTAATGAGGCGAAAGCTTCATTGGAATATTGGGCCATTCGACATGACATGGATAGAGACCAGACCTATGATTTCCTTCGTAGAAGGAAGTCCTGGAGGAGGAAACTCCCTCCACCGATGCGTATCAATCAGGACTTCTCGGCAGCCTATAATCTCTGAGAGATGCCAAGAGAACGGAGAGGGTTAATGACTTCCCCCGTGCCAGCGTGAGTCAGAAGCAGGACTCACACCTAGGCCTTCCTGGCTCCGAGGTCGGCTCTCCACCCACTGTACCACACTGATGACACACACACAGTTGGCCAGTCTGGGGGCTTCCTGGCACCAGTTTCAGCATTATGAATATCGCCTTAGCCCGTAGAGGATGTCATCTGAAGCAATTCTTTCTTGGCCATAAATCAAGTCCATTTCTGACTCTTATCAACTCTGTTGACAAAAGTCTTAAAAGTATTTTATCCACAGAGACTTTATTACCCAGATATGGGCACTGTATATATGTCAATGTGTCTGGGAGTTGCTTTGGCAAAGATAGAATGCTACCAAGTCCTTGGTTTGTACATGTTTTCTGAGAATAATAAAGGAAAACGGACTCTAACCCAACCCCAAGTTCTTGCCATGGGCACAGGGTAGAAATCATACATTTTTCAAGGGGACGAGGCTCAACGGCTAAACTTCGTCTCAGTTGGGCAGCCAGCCTCAGTGACCCCTCTAGAGTGCAGCCCGATTCTCTAAAAGGTTCTTGGACCCGGGGGTTCCTGTCCTTTGCTTGGGTATTTTATTCTTTCCAGGGTTGTGATGCTACTCCAGATGCTTTTTTCTCCTGCTTCCACAGAATAAAATCTACTTGAAGCCCTGGGTGGATATGACACGCTCTCGTGTGATTGCCCAGCAGTGCCCGCTTCCTGTAGGTCAAAGGGTTGGTCAAAGTTGGACTTGCCTGAATCACCAAAGGAGGACAGTGTAGCCAATTTGCTGCCACCATTAGGGAATTGAGATCACACTTCCTGTGGCTGCTGTGGTTCACAGGAGACGAACCATCCCAGAATGGGTTATTCAGGACAGGTGTCATCTGGGTTTTCCTGGCTTTCATGTTCCCCACTCCCTTCTATCGTAACAGAGGGAGGAGAGGAGAGGGGAGGGGAGGGGAAGGGGGAGGAGAAGGGAGGAGAGCGGAAAGCTCCTACAATTCTCTAAGACTATAAATTGAAGGAGAGATCATCTGCATGGGAAGAGGGAGTTAGCTCATATGGAAGGAAGCAAAATCGGAAAGCAGAATGTGTCTAACAGAGTGGAGTGCTGCATGGGGCGAACTGACAGGGGCCAGGGCCAAGGGCTTTGCAGGACAGGCAGACGTGGACGGGTTTGGATCTGCATGGATAGAGGAAGCAACGAGCGAATGAGATCAGGGTCCCCAGAGCCTGCGTGCCTGCCTTGCAGAGCTGCTCGAAGGCTCAACTTTGGCGATGCAGGTGAGGCACTCTGCAAAATGTCAAGGATTTTACCAACGTCGGCCATTGGTCATTATGTCTCAGAGGCCAGCAGGAGAGTGGGCACGATATAGTGGGGAGACAGCCCTTCTGGGGTCAGGTAGCCGGTACAGACCCTACCTCCCCACGTACAAGATGTGTCCCCGCCTCTCCAAGCAGCTGCCCAAGACTTCACAGCTGCTGACGAGGTGGCAACGTGCACCAGTTGAGGGAGTTTCCCTAGTGAGGGTTTGACCCCTTTCAGAGGCTGTGTCCAGCAAAGCGTCCTTTCAGGCCACCTTACCTAAAGGCGTACTTCAGTTCTGCCATCTCTTTGTCTTTGACACGCAGGTCATCTTCCAGCCTCTCTGTTATTATGACGTAGGACTCGCTGACTTTTTTCTTCCACTCATCTAGTAAAGGAAAACAAATGGGTCTGATTTGTGGTTGGGTTTTGCACAAAGCAGACACAGTTCATACCACACTAGTAATCAAAGCCTTGCTTTCCATACTCCATTCTACAATACCGAGTTTAGATCACTGATTTTGAATTTTAAATGCAGATGTTTATATTTAAAATGCAATCATACTGAATGGGAATAATTAAGGCCTCATTTTATTTTGGATAATATATTTACTCAGAAAAATCGATTTTAGTTATTTCATTTGATTTTATTGCATTTTAATTATAGCAATCTCTGGTCTTAGAACTGAGTTTGAGATTTTTAAATACTAATTACTTAAGAATTAATTTTTTTAAATCCCTAGATTCAGCAGTATTCTAACTCAATTTCAATTACATTATATCAAGGTAATAAAACATTCACCTCCTATTTTCCTCAAGAATTTCTTTTTTTGTGTGTTTATTTCTGGGCTGACCTTTCAGAAAGAAATTATTCGAGTTTATCTCATCATCCTAATTCTCCTACGCAACATCTTAACCTTGACCTAAGACGAAAGAGCATGTCCCTGACCCAATCTGACTCCGATTCCATTCAGCACATATTGCATTAGAAAAAATTTGGCTAATTACCAGTGCAAGTTTGGGTCGGTCTGGATTTGTAATTCCCCATCGGTTGGCTTTTTCGCCTTGGTCTCAGCGAAGGTCTCCCAGCAATGAGCTGTCTTGCCCCAGTGTGGTGACGATGCTATTGAGAATGACTCTGATAGCCTGGCTAAAAATAAACCGGGAGCCAAATGGAATGTCATGTCATGATGACAAAAGAATGAAACTCTGTGTGCCCTCAAGTGTAAAATAATAAAGGTAACTAATCAGTTTGCTTAAAAATGCAGCACCAAAAAAATAAATTGCACACAATTTAATGGGGGTATTTGCCTCCATCAATTGATCGTCTTCCCATACTCACATATTATGGGCTTTTTCTTATGCAGATAATGCTGAAAAGTGGTTTAGCTGTATCTAAGCGTTTCAAAAAAAAAAAGTCATTAAAGCAGCCTCCCTTCACCACCAATTTCTCCCCTTTCTCATCAAAGGGGCTGAAGCAAGAAAGCCAGAGCCTCAGATGGCATCGTTTGACCCTAAGCATGAAAACAAGTGAGTCCCTGGTCTAGGAGACCTGAAGGAGACAAGCCACTAAGAGAAGGAGATACAAAATTTGTTGGCCTAAGTCCTGAGAATTCTGAAGGGCTGGGAGAAAACACAACAGTTTCACACAATTCAGCGTTATCTGTATGTTTGTTTGTTTTTGACACTAGCTGCTGATACACAAGCTAGGGTCATCTGAGCACAGACACTAGATTGAAAGGCAGCATGGTGGTAGGAGAGGGGCAGGGGTGGAAAGACTATAATCATCAGCATTCCTAGAGAGCTTTAAGGTTTGCAGAGTGGAATAGAGTAGACATACAGTATACAGTAGCAAATGATTATGGTAACCTTGCATTTGACAAAAGTTAAGATTTAAGTTTTGGAGAAAAGATTTCATTATTTGGCAAAAATGGTTGGAAAAACTAAAAAGTATTTTGGCAGAAATCGGACTTAGATCACTATCTTATACCATTTACCAAGATAAGGTCAAAATGGATACTTGACCTAGATATAAAGGGAGATACCATAAAAAAACTCAAAGAACATGGAACACATTACCTACAAGACTAGAGGATAGGAGAAGAATTTATAAGCAAACAAGAGTTAAAGAGCACAGGGAGGTGTGAAATGAATAATTTTGATTACATTAAATTAAAAAAAAAAGACTTTGTACAAATAAAACCAATATAGCCAAGATTAGAAAGAAAGCAGAAGTTTAGGGGGAAAATTTATAGACAGTTTCTTGAATAAAGGTCTCATATCTCAAATACATAGAGAACTTGGTCAAGTTTATAAGAATATGAATCATTCCCCAATTGATAGATGATCAGAAGATATGAAAAGGCAGTTTTTGGATGAAGAAATCAAAGCTATACAGTCATATAAAAATGCTCTGAAGGATTATTGATTAGAGAAATGCACATTAAAACAACTTTAAGATATCATCTTATACCTATTAGATTCCACAAAACTATAGGAAGAGAAAATGACAAATGTTGGAGGGGATGTGGAAAAATTGGGACACTAGTACACCGTTGGTGGAACGGTGAATTGATCCAACCATTCTGAAGAGCGATCTGGCATTCTGCCCAAAACCTCTGACCCGGCAGCACCACTGTGAGGTCTGTTTCCCAAGGTGACCAGGGAAAAATGAAAGGAACTTACATGTCCTAAAATATGCATAGCAGCTCTTTGTGGTAGCAAAGAACTGGAAATTGAGTAGATGCCCATCAATTGCGGAATGACTGAACAAGTTGTGATACATGATTAGGATGGAATACTACTATGCTGTAAGAAATTATGAGCTGGTTGATTTTAGAAAAATAGCATGGAAAGACTCGCATGAAGTAACGAAGACAGAAATGAGCAAAACCAAGAGAGTGTTGTGTACAGCAATGACAATATTGTTCAGAGTACACCTGTGAACATTTAAGTTATTTTGAATATTATACATGCTCAAATCAACTCCAAAGGACCTATGAAGGAAGATGCTATCCAACTCCAGAGAAAGAACTGAAAAATAGAAGTATGTATAATATGGTTACACACACACACACACACACTCCCATACACACATATTATACATACATACGTTTACATATTTAAATGGACAACTGAAGATGGCCCAGGATGAAGTGGGAGACCCTGGCCTTTTTAAGCTAAAGTCTTTTCAGGTTCTCACTTTGAGTGAGGTAAGGCCCATTCAGTGAATAGTCCTCTTTAAGGAGTGAGTCAAGGAATGGCCCCTTTATTAAAAATTAATAAATAAATAAAACTGGGAGGGGAAGACCCTCAGGGTTGCTGGCCAAAAGAGAAACAGTATTTACATTCACTCTGAGCCTGGAGGGCCCCAAAAAATAACCATTAAGTGGTTCTTGGGCAGGAACTAAACCTATTGTTGTCCAAACCAGGCGATCAAGGCCCCAGGACCCAGATGGCTCTGGAGGAGAAAGTGAGGCTGGTGACCTTGCACAGCCTTCCCTCCCTCAAATCAAAGTCAATGCAAAGTCATGTCATCACCTGCCTGATGTCATGGTCCTCTGAAGGACAAATCACAACAACATATTTACATGTATACACACACACATATCTGTGTCTAATCGTGGTCTTCTCTAGTGCAGTGTGGGGAGGGAGGGAGGGAGGAAAAAAGTGCATAGCAGAGAACAAAAACAACAACTTAGAGAGAAGCATAGAAAAGTAGGGTAGCTTTGAAAATGATGTGCAGGTTTTATTACATAGTTGTTTTTTTTTAAGTAAACTGGGAAATGGAGATTCATGTGTTGTGCACATGGAAATTTTTTTTTTGTATTGAAGTTCAAAATGAATTTATAAAAAAGAAAGAAAAGAAAAGGTTTGCAGAGTGTTTGACTAATGCCATCTGATTGTATCCTTACAACAGCCCTGGGAGGTGGGTGCTAAGTGACTTGCCCACATAGCTAATAAGTGTCTGGGCTGACATTTGCACTCGGGTCTTCCTGACTTCAGGTACGGTGCACTATTCCCTGCAATACCTAGCGGCATCTATTACACCTAGAGTCAGGACTGCCTGAATTCAAATCTGGCCTCTGGCTGTATAAGTCATCTCCAATCTCTGAGCCTCAGTTTCCTCACCTGTAAAATGAAGACTGTAACCATACCTGCGGGGTCTCCCTCCTAGAAGAGGCCAAGATCTGTTTTGCTTTTGTCTGTACCCTCAGAATCTAGCACATAGTAGGATCTCTTAGTGCCCCAGAGGAGTGCACTGATAGGGTGCGATATGACATTGGCAGCTGTGTGGAAGGGGGCCAAAGAAGGAGAAAGACTTGAAGTGGAATAACCAATCTGGAGGCAATTGCAATAGTGCAAGCAAAGGTGATGAGGGTTTGAGCTCAGCTGGTAGCAGTCTGAGTGGAGAGGACAGATTGTGTGGAGGCAGAAATGATGTTTGGCAGCTGACCAGCCACGCCGAAGGACGGTGGGTGGAATCAAGCGTAAACCAAGGTTATAAACTTGGGAGACTGCTAGGGGGGTAGAACCCTTAATAGAACTACGGATGTTTAGGACAGGACGGGTTTGGGGGCTCAGAGAGGGGAGCAATTGTATTTCTGTTTCTTGATGTGACTCCATTCCAGTATAAACATATGGTCACATCTAATTTCTCCGTGTTGCCTTCTTTTCACCCCAAGTCTCACGTAAGGGCAACGAGAGCAGCGCCAAACCAGCCTCAGAATCCTAAGACTGATGATGACCAGGAGGTCTCGCATCAACTCTGCGGAGGCACGGCTGACGTCTCCCCAAGGCCGGTGACTCCTGGTTTTGAGTCCATATTTTGGGCACGGAAAACAGCATGTCTTCAGAAGCCCCCTCGTCACATAGACACATCCTTTATAATGTGCCGATCGCAGCTTCTCCCTGACTTGGCTTGGAACGATGTTTTAAGTAAAGCCCTTTACCAACTATTTTGTCTAAATTGTAGCGGCATTTCCCGGAGCCCCGACACGGGGGGAATGGCAATGAGCTCCTTTTGGACAGGCTGAATTTGAGATCCCTGCGGGCTCTCCAGATTGAAATGTCCAACAGGAACTGGAGTTCAGGAAGAGTCCCTCCCCCACCCCCATTCAACCCTCAGGACTGTGCATGGACAGGAGGATGTCAACGATGAAGGCGAATGACCGACGGGAGAGTCACACTAACGAAGGGCTCTGGGAGGAGTGACGAGACGGAGGTGTGGCTGGAATGAGAAGAAAATCCTGGGTCAAGAGTGGAACTGTACATGCATGAGTGGCTTAACCGGGACCTCCTGCTCAAATGTGAGAGTGCAGGAAATCACAAAACGTGAGGTCGGAAGAACCTGAGAGGTCATTTAGTCCCACTCACAAGTGAAAGTAATTCCCGTTTTTAACGTACATGACAAGTGGTCATCCCTCCTCTGATTGAATACTTCCAAGGAAGGGGCACTCACTACCTCTCCTAGCAGCCCATCCTACTTAGCTCTCCCAGATTTCCTCTATGTTGTCCAGTAAACAGAGGCACAAATTCTGGAGTCGGAGGAAACCTCTTAGGGTATCTAGACTAAGTCCTACTTAAGAAGGACTCTGTTACACCATACATAATAAACGCTTATCCAGAATTTGTTTGAACACCCTTAAATGGTCTTCCATTTCACTTTTGGATAGCTTTAATCCAGGAATTCTTGATTTTAAGGGGTCTGGGAACTTAGAACTTTTGGTATGTTGATAACCTTATTTCAATGTTGTTATTGAATATTCAACATAAAATATTTCCTGTATAATTTCATATATTTTATTTTATGCATTAAAAATATTCTCAAAAGTGATCCATAGGCTTCACCAGACTGTCAAGTCTACCAACCCTGCATCTGGAGTCAAGAAGGCCTGAGTTCGAATCCAGCTTCAAGTTTCCAAATATTATCTCATTTGAGCCTCACAACAACCCTGGGAAGCATTTTACAAATTTATAATTGAGGAAACCAAGGCAGACAGAGGTTAAGTGACTTGTCCAGAGTCATACAACTAGCTCACACAAATC